CAGTTATAACAGCGTAGGGGTGGGACAGCCCCGGCCACGGCCGGTCTTATCATAGGGGCTCCGACAGCCATAGCCGCCTGTTGTCGTTGTGCGGCGGCTATGCGTTGCCGTTGTAAACCTTGAACAAACTCCGTCAACAGGGCTACTACCGTAACTAGTTGGGCCGCGAATTCTTTCATGGATACTTCTTCCTCGCCTCGGCCTCCTTGCGTTTGACTAGAGCGACGGGAGGCCGAAGCAGAGGAAGAAGCTTTCCGATCCGAGCTTTTTTTTGCCGGACCCAACCCTAAGCGATCTTCGAACATTCGTGTCATAGCGGAGTAGCTATTGCGTCGAACACCCGAAGGGTCATCTTCGTCGGATTCTGAGTCCAGGCCCACATCGTAATTTTCTTTCCCGTACTTAATTGCGTACTGAACTAGCTCCGTCAGGGTATGTTCTATAGGGCTGCATTTCTTGCGGATCTTTTTCCGCAGACGAGAATCTGACAGTCCTCTGACGAAATCAGTCCGTACCATTTTCTCATCCACCCCGGAGCGTTCGGCTAGGTACGTAAATCGTTCAGCATATCTAGCCAAGGTCTCCCGAGGCTGATGTGTGTATTCCTTTATTAAACGGAGGCATTGACCTGGTGCGATGTGATCAAATCTATCGAGAAATTTCCTCTGGAAGGCTGCCCAATTAGTGAAGGGGTTTTGTCCGTACCACTCAAAAGCGGTTCTGGCTAACCTTCCGGGAATTCGGTCTCGGAGCAACTGGTCCGACCAGCCCTGGGCTTTCAAGGCAGCTAGCCAGGTGCGAGGATCGGTGTCATCTTCTGAAAAAAATGGGAACTTCAGAAGGAGGAGGTACAAAGTATAGGGGATGATTGGCCATCCCCGCGTGGTTGTCGCCATCGTTTTCACGCCCGATTACGGGTTCCACCATCGCGGGAGGCGGGTTTCGAGTCCGGCCTCTCGCTCGGTTCTGATTGCTATTCGCGGGCCTCCGTCGACGGGGAGCCAGCCTACTCAAAAATGCGAAAATTCTCGTGAAAAGATCAAAAAGAAAAAGGAGAAACTTTAAAACAGGGTAATCGTCCTAGGAGAACCTCGGAGCCGAAACGAGTCAGCTCTGATACCAACCTCACGCCCCCTCGCGGCTTCCCGTACGGGGTCGCCGATCAGAGTTCTAGGAGGGGCGTGGCCGAGGATTTTTGGCCGTAAGGGTTGAGTCTCCCGGACGGAACGGGAGGCTCTCGTTTCTTGGCCGAGGTTTTTCTCGGAGTCGAACTGTCGTCGCGAAGTCCCACGGGGGTCGGATTACTCTGAAACGATCAAATCAGAAGGGTTTCTGTGAAAATGAATTGTCGTCGTGCATCGGGACGGGAATAGGCATCAAGGGGAGGACGCCATGGCGGCAGACGGCAAAAACTCTGACCGTCATGGGTTCCGGGGATAGGTGGTGGGTTCGAAGCCTTCAGGCCACGTCATCGGCCTCACGAAGTGGCCGAACCCTCGGGTCTTTCGCTGTAGAGGTAGTTGGTTCGAGGCCTTCAAGCCTTGGCGTCAGACTCATAGAGCCCGTGCGAAAGTTTCCGGGAGGGTAAAGCGGCGGGAGGACTCGCCGGCATCTGAATTCGAAATTGCGCGGGCATCGCCCCCGCACTACCGGAAAGCTCGGGGAAACGTGTCGCTCCCTCGTAACCCAAGACCAGTCGTCGCCACGAACACGAGACACCAGCGACAATCAAACTGCGGTCGCCATGCGGCGTGAGCGGCCGACCAAGGCAACACAGTTAAACCTGTATAAGGCAATCATATTAGAGTCAGGGAATCAAAGCGATCAATCAACACAAACCCGTTCCCCCTTATCTCACAAGCCCGAGGCGGGTCTTGCGAACACACTTGCTCCGTCCGCCTCAGCGCACGCCGTACGTCCGCATCGCAGTTGACGTTGTCGTCATCTGTGATGGGGAAGGTCGGTAGCGAAATGAGACGATCGGAGTTACGTGATGAACACGGGCAAGATCCCGCGTTCCCTGTCATCCGAACCAACACCGAATCCATACAACAATCGTCGCAACGCTTCTCTCTCAAAAATGGGTGCGTAGGGGGAGGATGACGAAATCTAAGCTTTCTCCCCTTGGCGGGGGCGTCGACCGTCCGCGCGGACGCAGGCGGTTGACGTCACCGGTACGGGGACGAGAGGCTCTAAAGGCGATGACTGTTAGTTCAAAAGGAAGGCGATCGAAAAGG